AAAACTAAGAGCTGGTGAAGGTTCCTGAGGATAAATTTTCGTGTGGATGACTTGTGGCTTTTTTTTTTTACTTATCATTTGAAAGCTGTATCAGTCAATATTTACCTGATGGTTATGCTGACTGGCAGTTTGGTCCCTCAGTAACGCTGTTGAAATAATTCATTCGTGCACCTCTCTTCCCATGTGAGACTGTTTCACTATGTATGTGGCTCATCATTCAGTGGTGCTCTCACTGTGTGTTGGAGGACAAGTATCTCAGACCTTGACAGTGATGCTGAACTTTCTAATTATCTCCCCTTTCCTACCATACTTAAAGGTGAAGCTGTGTTTGCACGGTGCCTGTCTTCTCTCAAGGATGAGAGAGTACAGGCCAGTAAGCTGCTGGATGGGCCTAAAATGACTCAATTCGGTGGGAACAAGAAGGCCTTTCTGGAGGACATACGCAAGGTGAGCCATTGTGCTTGCCAGAGTGCTGTATTAAAGCTGCATATCAAAGCAGGTTTTGGATGCTGTAAATCCTGGTGAGGAGCTCTTGTGTTTGCATTTCATGACAATTGGTTCCTGCTTCCAGCCGTCCCATTGTGTGTTGTCCAGTGATGTCCACAAAGCGTAATGCGATTCCTTTCCTGACCAAAGCATAGTCCTGAAGGAATTCAAGTCTAAGCCATGGTGGGCAGTGACAACTAGCTGGGTGCAGAGGTCGTAATTCATGCACAGGAGCTTACTTTTTCGCCCCTCAACACTCCCATCTTTGTAATGGGGATAACAGCTCTTGATCTCTCTCTGTTGAGACCAAACTTTCCAACAATTAGAAAGGATATTTTGGTTCTCAAATAGCTGGAATGTGGCTACTGTACTCATCCCTGATGAGATGTGGACTAAATAGAGCAAGCAGACTCTGAAGTTTCTCGTTCAACTTTGTGGGACTTCACTTGGAATGTGAATTTGTTTTTTTAGGCCCTGTATGCTTCCAAGATTATCTCATATGCTCAAGGCTTCATGCTGCTGAGACAAGCAGCCAAAGAATTTGGCTGGACACTGAATTACGGTGGCATTGCGCTGATGTGGAGGGGAGGCTGCATCATCAGAAGGTAATTAAGATGAGGAGGTAACTTAGTTGCTGAGTTACTGGTTTATGCAGTGCTACACTGACAAGCCTAGAGATTTTCTTGGAAAATCCATGGAGTTAATCTGCTGATAAGATACTGAGAGGCTGGTTCTGTAGACGGCACTAAAGGTTACCAGATGAAGCCAATTTTCTGGTGGCTTAGCTACTGCAGATTTTCTTCGGTCTTTGTTTTGTTTGCACCTTTCTCAATGTTTGAAATCTGAGTCTGGCCGAGTCAAATTTTGACACTGTAAGTTTTGGATTCTGGGCCTTTGTTGGAACTTGTGAAGTTTTATTCCTGGTTTACATGTGTTCTGCCTAGTGTGTTCCTGGGAAAAATCAAAGATGCTTTTGATCGAAACCCTGAGCTCCAGAATTTGCTGTTGGATGATTTCTTTAAGACAGCTGTTGAAAACTGTCAGGTGAGTTTCCAAGAAAGGAAGAGCATAAAAACAGTAGTTCACAGTCTGGACTTCTTCAGCTTCTTCCCCAGGAGTTACCTTCACAAGTATATTTAGACTGAAAAATGAAAAGGTAGAGAACACCCTTGAAACCTATTTATACAGCATCCTTAATCCCAAAGATCTCTAAACAATCCTCAAGCTCTTTGGGACTGTGTATGTGTATCTGTATGCACATAATGTGTGGGTGTAGGAATTCATCATCTATGGCTTCAAGGTACCCTTCTTTAGAAGAACATACCAGTCTTACAGGATCAGGACAGGAAAAAAATTACGTAGGTGGAGCTAGTTGAAATTGAACAAGAAAGTTACTGTGATGAGGTAGGCTATACTGAGGTCCAAATTAGAATTTTGCCAGACACCAGGGTTAGCAACCTGTCCTTGAATACGTGCCTACAAATGCCTCTTGCCTCTATTTCATCAGAAAGTTGGAGAATGTTAGTTCTAAATGAAGGAAAAAAAAGGGGCCTGCATCACTGAAGCACTACTTTATAAATCAGCATCCAGATACATCAAGTGAAGTCTCATGTAAAGTTGCAAGGTATATTTGTACTGTCAACATAAAGATAATACAGGAGCAAATGAACATATAGTCCTTGTTGTGTCATGGTTCTTCTCTTTGATACTAGCCAAACTACTATTACAAAAACTTAAGGTTTCCATTTTATAATTACAGAAGAGCCTTAGGCAGAAATCTAGCAATTCTGAAGAACGACAATGTGAGGAAAAAATGTCTCGCCTGCATGAACATTCTCATCACTGCCCTGTATCTTGTGCCTACTCTGCACTTGGATTTCAGTTGTACAGAGTATAAAGCTCTGTTCTATTACCATCGTTTGCAGTAGCACCAAAATAACAGTGTTCCAGACCCGCCATTCATTAGACCTAGGTCTGTCCAAACAGTGTCCTGATTTGGACAGAGCTGACAGGCAGAGCTAAAACCAGATTATCTGACCAACAAAGAAGTCACATTATCATTAATAATTCTTTTAACTGAAGCTGAATATTCCATGCAGGTTACTAAATCAGATGTACAGTTGAAATGAGGATTATCCACATGTCTGTTTGAAGTATTGTGCTGACCCCTTATGCCCTTGGGCGGGCTTTGTACTGTGCTTGGTTAGAGGTCCCAAAAGTGCCTCAGTGATTGCTCAGTATGTTCCCCGCTGTGTTCATGCTTTTGGGATGGACTGATTGTGTTTATGTGAAAGAACAGCATCCTTGCTCGAGGCTGTGGTTTGATTGCATGTGAAGTATATGTCTGCACTCTATTGTGCTGTTTGTTAACTATCTTACTTGCCATTATTTTGGATCAACCTTGTTTATGTAAAATCAGGAATCTACTGCTGCATTTGCTCAGACTTGGTCACTAGATTTCATATAACGTGAAATAGCACACGCTATTACACTAGAATAGTTCATATGCCTGCACATATCTCTGAGCAAGCACTGAGTAGTTTCTTTCTCCCCCCCCCGGCTCTTCTCCTCTCTCCCAGGACTCCTGGCGACGTGTAATCAGTACTGGAGTACAGATTGGTATCCCTATGCCCTGCTTCACTACAGCACTTTCTTTTTATGATGGATACAGGCATGAAATATTACCAGCTAACCTGATTCAGGTAGGTGCCTGAAGTAGTGTAGCAGATCTTCTGGCTACTGAAATATCATCATGTTGTTATTTAAATACTGGTCTAAAGGCCATGATAGCAATATGTCCTAATCACTCCAACATTGTAAAGATAAAGGCATAGATTGCCTAATATAATTCTGTTTAACCTGAAATTCATGGCAATAAAATACTATGAGATGTCTGGATAAAGAACACCAGAGATATTGGTACGACAATGCCCAGCATGTGTTAGTATTCCATCTGTGAACCCAGGGTAATGATATCTTTGAATCAAAATGCTTTATAAAGAAGTAAGTATCTTTGAACCTTTGGATGTATGTAAGTGCTTGGTTTTTAGATTGGTACCTAGCAGAAATGATATACTTGTCTTTCTACAGAACTCTTAATTACGAGATATTAGTAAGTGTTTCATTGCAGTGATTTTGCTAATAATGAGAAAATAAGTTTGAATGTTACAATATTGGAGTCAGATCTCATTTCTAGAATTCCTATAGTCAAGTATCAGTAGGTGCAACTTCTAGTACTCTTACGACTGATATTCATGTGTCTATTTTGTGTGTGTGTTTTCTTCTAGGCTCAGCGTGATTACTTTGGTGCACATACATATGAATTATTGTCGAAGCCAGGTGAATTTATCCATACTAATTGGACAGGCCATGGAGGAAGTGTGTCCTCTTCTGCCTACAATGTCTAATGGAAATATTTCCTCTTGCAGCCAAGATACTGTAGATCTCAGATATTCCTCCTAGAATACCACTTTTTACTGTACTGTGCTAGAACTTGTGTTTGGACACTTTTGTAATAACTTGTGGGTATATTTCATATATATATATGTCAAAATATATATATATCTCTCATATAAAAAGCTAAATAAATTTCCTTATAAATGCATTGAGGTGTTTTCTTTCCACTGCTGCTGGCCAAAACTGGCTAAAATGTCATTGTGCAGTATTTAATAGAATACATTTTATAATGATATTTTTATTGTATTATAGTGCATAAACTCATAGGGATCAAGATAGAGATGACTGCATTTCAGTAATTGCTAAAGTGGAGAATGGCAGACAGTCAGCACAGTAACACTACAGAAGACTCCAGGGAGGTAAAGGTCTTTTTTTGGTTGTCGTTGTTTATTCATAACAGGCAGTAGCTTGGTTCTTAAAGATTAATTCCTTAATCTTAAAGATTAATTAACACCTGCACACAGTCTTGCACACTGTGAGCTCTGTTTGTTTTCTATGAAAGGGGTGAAGGGTGGGATGGATCACGGAGAAACTTGAATGGGGGTCACGGGTGTCAAGACTGATACTCCTGTCACCAAGCCATTCTCCCTCAAACTGTTGTTCCCAGTTTTAAGCTCTGGCATAAACTGTTGGTTTAGCTGTGTGCTTGCACTCTTTTCCCCAAATCTCCCTGCTTCTTTGCCTCCTCTTCCCATGGGGCAATTAAAAATACCTGCAATAGCATGCAAAGTTGGCTGTATTTGATATCCTCTTCCTGCAATGCCACCACCAATCATCTTCAGGACTTCTGCAAATTCACCTGGGTGCCTGTATCTTTTTTTTTTTGTCAAAACCTCTCAAGTGTTAAATTTTGTGCTGTATGCTGATTTTTATATTAATTTTTTGCTCCATTTATTTCTGCTAAGACAGCTACTTAGTTATTAGTTGAATATCTGTATGATTAGCAAAAGATTACCTTCAATTTAAAGCAACTTTTCTGCAAATTATGTTGTAAGATTTAGGAATTCTGTAAAATAAATGTGTGACAAATTGCAGGCAATAGTGATAACTGGAGGGTCATGAACATTTTAGTAGTTGTTTGTGGTTTAGGCTCTCCAGCAGGAGAACTGTATTTGAAGATTTCCGTGGCGGACGGTAGGAACAGTTTTGCCAGTTTATTGTGTGCACAGGCGTTGTGTTTCAGGGGAAAACGGGATACTCCCACCAATCTATTTTAGTGCTTAGAACGATATTAGCGCTGCGAAAAATATCTATCTGGAATCTCGTCTAAAACCTGACAACTACTAAGTCAGGGTAAGCAGTATGTGCCTCACTGGGTTCACCACGAGCAGCGCTTGTTCCGTAATCTCATTTGAACTGGAGCGATAAGGGAAGGATGGGGACACCAGCTGATGTTGCTCCACATCTCCCTTACTGCATTACGCGTAGCTCCGCCGGACACGTGCATTAGCTGCCGGCAGCGGGACGATCTTTCACGGCCCACGCGTAGCTCTGACAAGCTGTTCGAGCAGGGCGGCTGCTGTAATCGCTGCTTACAACCGGGCCGTGCCCAAGGTGGCAGCCTCACAGGGGAACGTGCGCGGCCTCCTGCGGTCCGCGTCCTGGCGGTCCGTCCGGACCGCGGGACGGTTGTTTTCCTCGCCGCTCGAAAAGCATCTTCCAACACCCCTGTTTAGCACCACGGCGTGGAGGGGGGGCCGGGGCGGCTGCGGCGGTTTCCTCTGCCCGTCGCGGGGCGGTGACGGTTGCTGGGGAGGGTTCGGGTCTCCCTCGGAGC